CCCCCCAAAACCTTATACTGACTCTTTTCTCCATTTATGATATTCTAAGGCTGCATTCTAACCCTCTGGACTTGAAAGCAACCGCACCCCCACCCCCCATCCCACACACACAAAAAGGCGAAGGTACATTTATTAGTGGAAGACCAGTAAAGTCATCTTGGCAGCCTCATTATTGCAAAAGGCAAGATGTCTTTTGAAACGTCAACCAAAAAAACTCGCAGGAATTCCTACCCTTTCAACCTTTGGTGTTTTATGTTTTTCGGGCCCCCCTTCATTACTTTTGACTTGATATAAGACTAGTAAAATTTTGTTGGAAACCATGGTAAATGAATCTTGTGAGGCTCAGAACCCAAGCTGAAAATTGCTCGCAATAATCTAGAAAATGTAGCATGAGCATCAAAAGGAAAGAGAGAACCCACCACAACAAAGATGTAGGAGGTTGCAGATCTTAAGATTTTAGAGCCTCCATGGATTATGTTTCTATTGAAGACAAATAAAATGAGGAAAATACTTGAAAATCTCAAAAAACCTCTATCTAGAGAGCATGCTATCTTGCTATTGAATTGACATAGTTAGCGGGGAGAAAGAAAAGGATAAAGGAAGTTATACTTGGCAAATAGTTTTCCCCCAAAAAGCGCTTAAGCTAGGAGTTATAGAACTCTTAGTAAGCGCTCAATCTAATGCCAATATTCAAGCAAGCTTATTCAACAGTTTACTATGCAACAAAAAATCCCCAACCAAAACCAAACACTTGAATTCTAGTGATAAGGTAGTTATGACCTCAAGCTCCACTCAACTCCGCAGTTTTCTTCTGACCTCCATTACCCTTTAATACTTACTACAATTTTGACCTTGGGAAGTACCTTCTTATGAAACTGATCAACAGCTTAGGAAGAATATTCGATATTATTTACAACGAAGACAAGACAACTTCTTTGAAGATATAATCCAAGAGGTAATATGGAAACGAGATATTCTCAAATAATGTACGCTCAAAAAGAAACTTATGAAACATGTACTTATCCATGATGCAGATGCGACACTTATGAAACAGTGATGTATCTTTACCTCATCACTATCAAAAACTTCATCAGGGTCCTGTGGCATAATAACGTTTAAATGATGTTATTAAAGGCAATAAACACATATCATGACAAAATTTTGATTAAAGAAAATAAGAAGTAAGCTCAAATGGAACTAACATATTCAAAATAATAGAGCGGGTTCGGCCACAAGTCATCCTTAATTATGTCAGCAACCTGCAAAAGTGACAAAGTGTCAAAATGAAAAATTTCAGCAAAGATTTTACCTCAGTGGCCCAGTGCACCATCACCCNAAACATATACCTCATCCTGAATCTCTAGAGCGTCATCCTCATCATCTTTTTGAGTGACTTCGCTGAACCATGTAAAAAAGCTGCATAGAAAACCCCAAGACGGAAAACAGCTGAGCAAAGATGACCAGAACTATCATATCCCAATGTTTATCAAGAAGGTCTAGAGTGGAGACTACAGAAAATAAGGTCAGTGCAGAGTGCAGACACAGTACTGCTACAGTAACTTTGTAGCTGCATTAAGCAATAATTACCGGCATGATTTCTAATGAATCTCAGCTTCTGTTCTCATTATGATGACCAAGCTCAGTCTTACGGTCTCACCATTAACCAAAAACCAGCAATAGTGAAGCAAAACATTCGTTGTCTACAACAATTGGGGTACACTATTCGAAAGTCACTACAATGGACCAAATTATACGCTGCATAATTAATAATGTGCATTGACAAACACTGAGGGCTCGTTAGGTTGATGGTTTAGAATAACAAATCCTAGCATAAAATCTCGCATATTATAATATAGTGTTTGGTTGGTTGCATAAGAAAAAAATAATCGCCGCATAACCAATTTAGTGTTTGGTTACCGGTATTAAATAATACATGCATCAAGCTATGTTGGGATCTATGTATTATTACATGCGGGTTAGAATGTAGAACAATTAGTGATACATACAGGGATTAAACTATTTAGAGACAAAACTACCCTTTTAAAGTGAGTAATTTGTGTATAACAATCTCCTCATTATTAATCATTGCGTAACAGTCATTGCATTATTGATTCCCGATAAACAATCCATGCAATATATCCGCTTATAACTAGTATGTGAGCCAAAGGACCCCTGAAGTTATCATCAAGAAAGTTTGACATGAGCAAGCCTGCTATCAGACATTAGGCAAACCAAGGTTTCCAACAACATATCAGAGAATTAAATTGAGTCTTAGATTAAATCAACAAATAGCCAAATATGATTAAACTTAGATCATATAGATATGCTAGAAATAAGTAAACTCACCTTTCCTTATCGCGAGATCGCTTTTTTCCTTTCTTCTTATGTGCAACTACATTAGGAATGCCCTTCAAAGAGTCAACCAATATAATTAATATGACGAAGTAAGGAACGTACAGAATGTATCACATCTCAAGCTGCGAAATGGAAACTCACCATGCCTTTTTCCCATTTTATTGTCGTACCAGAAATCTTTGTGGGTCCATCTTCAAGGAAGGTATAGGTCTTTGAGAGCTTATTATTTCCAAAATAAGGATTCGCATTGAAGTTCTGTTAAAAAGAGAAGATCATCATTCTGAATTTCCAAAAAAATGCAACATATACCGATGTATATTAATTTCATGTGCGGGAACGAACTTACAAAGGTTATCGAGTAGCCTGACTTCACATCTTTAGTCTCTTCAACTTCAATAGAACTTAAAAACTTGAAGATCTACAAGCGATAAGGCAGTTACATTTTGAGATGCCGAACTCAAGAAGCATTTAAAGGATAACTCAAAATTTTATTGTACAAGAGAGCCTCATGTTAATTCAGCATTGACTTATTAAAAGTAATAATTCAACATCGATAAAACTTGGCCAAATAAATAGCATTAGAGTCGGTAATAATCTAGTTCCACAGTTTTATAAGCAACAAATTAGAACCAACCTTTAGGTCTTCTTCATTTAGAAGTCTACCTAGGACAGGATGAGCCAAAAACTGTAAGTAATGAAACAAGTCAATTAGATGACAAGCACTTCATAATTTCACCAACATAGAGAGAAGGAATTATCAGGATAGGACACCAACAGCAGTTAACCAAAAGTCCGGGATAGCTTTAATGATGTCGTTTCGTTTATCATAGACAGGCTTGCGGATCTCACTGTACTCCTGTTCCACTTTCAATACTTTATCACTTGCTTCCTCATTGATCTGCTAGCAAAATTAGAATGGTCATTGGTTAAGATGCAAGACAAAAGCAACAAAAGAAATCTAGCAATCAACTCTAAGTTACATTTTTAGAACTAACAAAACTTTATTTTTTTCCACCTTAATTAGTTTATAACCTCATAGCCTGCTTTTGTTGTGAGCACAGTAGCAAAAGCTCGTATACTTATACCCCTATAGAATATAATTAAGGTTTCCCCTTTATGATTGAAATGCAACATGTACCCTTCACGGCTTCAACTAATCATTACTCACTAGGCAAGTCTGCCAAGGCATAAGAGAACTACTGATAAAGAGGGATGACACTAATGAGAATATCTGCATCTATTCCAACTGAAAGAGAAGCATAACAAAACATAAAACAGCTCGTGTTCTTGTACTTGTAATAATGTTCCAACAAACCGTGGAATCGACTTATATGCTATAGATACTATCACATGCATGCAAAGATAGGGAAGAGTAGGAGCCAATGTTCTCAGCTATTACTCAGATATTTTCTTGGTCATCTAGCATATGGTAGATCTAAGAGTGCCACCAATATAGAAACTGTCCAAGTTCTTTATGTTATTTTGATTATTTATGTTTAGACTGGTGGTAGTTTTAGAAATATCTCCACAGTGTTTTGCAGATTGAGCTTTGACGGATGAAAGATGGATTACTAGACTTTTCCTCCAATAATTTATCCTAAGTCCTAACTCTTGTAATGTCAAAGGACAAAATGATGGATTAGAATAATGCAACTTAATCTTTCCTAAGCCGATGGTCTACAGGAAACAGCCTCGCTACTTTTTCAAGATAGGGGTAAGGTGTGCGTACACACTATCCCCCTCCCCTTAGGATTACACCGGGATTGTTGTTGTTGTTGTAAAATAAACTGGAATCCACAGATGCAAACCAGTTGTTATTCTCATCAAACTTAGCAGCCGATTTTTTCTTTTTCTTTTTTCGATAACTAAGCCTGGTGTTTGGACCAACTTGCGAGCATCTCCGCTATTCAATCGGATGCTTGTTGCCTTCCACCAAGCAAAGCATAGTTACTGGGAACTCTTCCCACCAAAACTTAGGCTAGTGGGAAGAAAGCACCTAATTTTTTGTCTCTCTAGCATCCAAGGTTTGCCTCTACTTCATTGACCAGTAGGTCACAACCTTGGGTGCAACTTAGAACTCAAACTTTGGCCTTTCTTTCACCATAAAATCAAAGTCAAGGATCACCCTATCATGCGGCTCACACTGCATCCAAAATAAATAATACGACAACATACGCAATATTACAAAAACTAATGAAGACAAGCCTTTTTTTGTGATAATTAAATGAGGACTATCTTTACATGTTGCAACTCAAACATAATTATGCGAACCTAAACTCGGAGTTATTCCCTTAAGTAGCTTATGTAGTTCTCGAGCATGTGTTGTTTGCAAGGAAAGAAATACACACACACACACACACACACACACACACACACATATATATATATATATATATATATATATATAAACAAGGTTGCACTCACCTCCCACACATACACATATACAAGCAAAGATATAAATTCCATATACAATGTGCTTCAAAAAAAAATGCCAAGTTGGAAATTACAACCAATTTCTCTAATGGAAAACATTAAACGTACGGCCTTTGACTAAAAATTAATTCTTTTGAAAAAGATATATATGCTAAAAAAGCAGTGTACTCTGAACCCACTTAAGATCTTGGATTTTAAACACAATTAGGGTAATAAAAAAAATTGTCCCTTCTGTTCCTCAAAAGAAAAGGGATAAATTTTGGAAAAGAAAGGGATTATTTCACCTTCTCAAGCTCGTCTTGTATTTCTTGCAATTTGTCAATGGAAGTAACGATCTCACTATAAATGATGTTGCTATTTTCTTCATCCACTTTCTGTTTCTTCCCTGTGTTAGCGCCCATCATTTTCTCTTCTCTGGAAAAAGAAAAAGAGAAAACAGGCAAACAGAGGTTGCAAAAGTGCGCCTTTGTTGGAGGGTTACTGCCTTAAACCCTAAACCCCTATCTATAGATGTTTCAATACTAAGGTTTTTTTTTTTTTTTTATATCTATATAAACGCCACCCAAATTAGGAGTATCTATAGACTCAACCCAGGACCTAAGTTTGAAAGCCCCTTAAGACATGTGTTCCCTTTTTTGACTTTTTCAAAAATAGAATAGTTATTTAATTATTTTCCTAATATTTATTATTCAGGGCGGATAAATTTATTAGAATTTAATTATTAAATATTTTTTATTTGAATTATGTACCTAATATTTAGTATTTTAAAATTAATTAAAATTTAATATTAAGTAAATCGTTAAGAAAAGTCAATTATTTGGAACATTTAGTCCTTTTTTATCCTTTAAAAATTAATTTTACGTTAAATAAAATAGCTATATAATTATTTTCTTAATATTTTTGACTTACAAATCCATTAAAATTTGGTTATTAGATCTTTTCTTATATGAATTCGATACCTAAAATTTAGTTTAAAATCAATTAAAATTTTACCTTAAATAAATCGTTAAGAAAAGTCAATTATTTGGAACTCTTAGTTCTTTTTGACCCTTTAAAATAGATTTCACATTAAAAAAATATTTATTTAATTATTTTTCTAATATTAAGGACTTACAAATTCATTAAAATTTGGTTATTAAATATTTCCTTATTATGTACCTAAAATGTAGAACTTTAAAATCAATTAAAATTTTACCTTAAATAGATCGTAAAAAAGTTAATTATTTAAAGGGAAACTACCAGCTATGTCCATTTATAAGTAGCTTATTACAAAAATTAGTTAATTCATAAAATATTACTAATATTAGCCAAATATTACCAATATTAGCCAATTAGCTATTTGTAGCCAAAAAAAATCAAATTTTTGCTTTCTTTTGAGTGGGTATTATTAGAACAGATTGGGTACATCTTAAGGAGCTTGAATCTCAGTTTTGCGAGGATTTGATGGAGTTTTGAGGTGGTTTGAATTAAAAATTCGAAATAGAAGATGAACATGAAAAAAAAAGTTATGTGTATCACGTTGTGTATCATTTGTGTATCACATATATATCATATTTGTATCAAATATGTATCACATGTATGTGATACATGTGTCGTAGAAAAAAAGATTGAATTCGATTTTAACTAGGAATTTTGATACCGAAGCACTGCAAATCACTTCCAATCTTCCTCAAATTTTGTATATTGACACATCTATATGTTTTCAATGAATATCAACCATAGCCATTGAAAAATGTTCTTTTTGCTTAAATTTTTGGAATCTTGTATATATATATTTTATATTTCATCACTTTATTTGCTACCTCATCCATAAAACTTCATTTTCATTTTGCATCTAATGTTGCTAATCACACTTAAAAATATGGAAGGAGATCTTTGCGTGTAATTCTTGGAGAGAAAGAACTTTATTTATTTGGATTTTCAATTTTTATGTGTGCTTGGTTAGTTTTAATAAATCTATGATTGATTGCTAGATCATTAGAGATTGGTAAATTGGGACTTATTTGGGACATTTTTCTAAGATTCCCTTATTTAAAGCGTTTAGTAAAAAATTTGAATACATTCTCTTGGAGTAGTTCATATATGGCAATTGGCGACATCACAATGGTGCCAATTGGATTCCTATGAACAACATAATAATTCTTTTAGCATCTATGAGTAATTTTCTTGAAGAACAATTTTATTTACACTTAGTATCTACAATTATGTGGTAAATTGATGCAAGACTAAAATTAAAACTTACTAAATATATAGGAAAATGTTTTACTTTACTTTTAGTTTGTCTTTTTAAATCTATCCATACTATTTTTAAATAACAAAACTTCAAAATAAAATTGATCCATTTTTTTATCATTTAAAAAGAAATAGTATCGTATTGGACAAAATTATTATTTTATTAGTATTTTCTAATATTTAGGATGTTGATATTAACTAAAATTTTGACTATTAAATTTTTTCTTATTTGAATTATATAGAGACTCTTACAACAACAATAACAACAACAACAATAACAACCCAGTAAAATCCCACAAGTAGGGTCTGGGGAAGGTAGAGCGTACGCAGACCTTACCCTTACCCCCAGAGGGATAGAGATGTTGTTTCCGAAAGACCTTCAACTCGAGAAGAAGAAAAAGAAATAATAGACAATAGACAATAGATCAGACACAGCAATAGAAGCTATAAAAATATTAACAACATCGTAAGAAATAGAAAAATAGATGTAAAAGCAATAACAATAAACATCAATATTACCATAGGAAATAGTGAGTAAATTACATAAACCACTAACGACACACAGCAAAACATCAACAGGCCAACCCCTCCCCCGGAATAATAAAGAAAAAAAAAACGCTCGATTCCCTCCTAACCTATAACCCTAATGCTCGACCTCCGCCCCTTCTTATCCAAAGCCATGTCCTCGAAAATTTGTATTTGCGCCATGTCCCGCCTGATCACCTCACCCCAATACTTTTTAGGTCGTCATCTACCTCTCATCGTCTCTGCCAATGCTAACCGCTCACACCTCATAACCGGGGCATCTACGCTTCTCCTCCGCACGTGCCCGAACTATCTATGCCTCGCTTCCTGCATCTTGTCGTCTATGGGAGCCATGCCCACCTTCTCCCGAATATTTGCATTCCGAATCTTATCCAACTTAGTGTGTCTGCACATCCATCTCAATATCCTCATTTATGCCACTTTCATCTTCGGGATATGAGAATTCTTGGCTGCCCAACACTCAGCCACATACAACATGGTCGGTCTAACCAGCGTTCTATAAAACATGCCTTTGAGTTTCGGTGACACTTTCTTGTCACATAGGACTTCAGATGCTAACCTCCATTTCATCGACCCCACTCATATACGGTACGTGACATCCTCGTCTATCTTCCCGTCCCCCTGAAAAATTGACCCAAGGTACTTGAAACTTCCTCTCTTAGGGATGATTTGTGAGTCAAGCCTCACATCCATGTCCGCTTCCCCCGATTATCGCTGAACTTATACTCCAGATATTCTGTCTTAGTCCTACTCAACATGAAACCTTTAGCCTCAAGGGTCTGTCTCCAAACCTCCAGCCTCTCATTAATGCCGCTTCGCATCTCATCAGTCAGTACTATATCATCAGTGAACAACATACACCATGGCACATCCCTTTGAATATGGTGTGTTAGCGCATCCATCGCTTGGGCAATAAGAACAGGTTGAGCGCAGATCCTTGATGCAACCCCATAACAACCGAAAAGTGCTCCGAGTTACCTTTCATAGTCTTAACTCGAGTCTTAGCTTCCTCATACATGTCATTTAATACCCTAATGTAAGCTACTGACACACTTTTCCCTCCAGGCATCTCCAAAGAACCTCCCTAGGAACTTTGTCATACGCTTTCTCTAGGTCAATAAACACCATGTGCAAATCCTTTTTCCTATCTCTGTACTGTTCCGCCAACCTTCTGATAAGGTGAACAACTTCCGTAATGGACCGACCCGGCATGAATTTGAATTGGCTGTCGGATATAGGCACTGTCCTCCTCACCCTCCCTTCCACTACTCTCTCCCAATTTTTTATGGTATGACTTAGTAACTTGGTACCCCTATAGTTGTTACAATTCTGAATGTCACCTTTGTTATTGTACAGCGGTAACATCGCACTCCACCTCCATTCATCTGGCATCCTCTTCGTCCCGAAGATAACATTAAATAGCATAATGAACCATTCCAAGCCTTCTCTACCCACACACATCTACAACTCCACCGGAGTTTCGTCGGGCCCGGTCGCTCGGCCCCTTATCATCTTGCGCATAGCTCCCGCGACCTCCTCAGCCTTAATACGCCTACAATACCTAAAGTCTTGGTGACTTCTAGAGTGAGCCAATTCCCCTAGCACAATGTCTATGTCCTCTTCTTCATTCATAACACGATGGAAGTAATCCTGCCATCTCCGCTTAATCTGGGCATCTTTCGTCAATACTCTGCCTTCCTTGTCATTGATGTACCTCACTTGGTCCAGGCTACGAGCCTTCCTCTCTCTAGCCTTGGCCAGCCGAAATAGCTTTTTCTCCCCTCCTTTGACCCCTAACTCCTTGTACAGACGACCAAACGCTGCATCCTTAGCCTCTGTGACCGCTAACTTCGCCTCCTTCCTGGCTTCCTTATATCTTCCTCTGTTCACTCTCCTCTCTTCCTCGTCTGTGCTCTTTACTAAACTAAGATACGTCGCTTTCTTTGTTTCCACTTTACCTTGGACCATATCATTCCACCACCAGTCGTCTCGGTGCCCGTCATAGTAACCCTTTAAGACCCCTAGCACCTCTCTCTCCGCCTTTCTTATACAGTATGTTGTAGATGTCCACATCTCGCTAACGTCCCCGCTACTCCTCCAAGCTCCCATAACCATTAACCTCCCCTCCAACTCCTGAGATTTATCAATTTATAATCCCAGTAAAATTACATATATTAAGTCGAGTGTGTTTATTTTCATAAGAATTCATACGTATAGGAATTTATTTCATCTACTACAATAAAAATTCATATACCATTTGAAGTCTTCCACTTCAAGATATCTAAAGACTGTTAAATCGACCTTCTCTATTTTTTTTTTCTGGAGGTGCAAATCATTTGCAAGAGAAAGAGACAAAAATTAACGTGTTACTGTAATGTTTAACAGTTTGTCTTGTCATCAATATAATTAATCTAGCGAGTAGTTATTATAGGTAATCGCAAATAAATACCAAATTGGGGATATATAGCTGACTGATATTATCCATTATTATTGAGCTAAAGAAAGTAAGAGTGTTTCTCGAAATGTATAATCTTTCTTATCATATGATCAGATATACCTATAAAGGATGTCGTGATAACCTAAATCTATCCCTGACGAAATTCTACACGGTAAAGTATATGAGGACTTTTGTAGAGCAAAATCTAACTTTATTGAATTAGATAAAAAAGATTAGCATTCATCAACTTTTAGGAACTCAAAATTTTATTTTTTTAAAAAAATTGAGACACTTCTATGAAAATAACTATATAAGTTTTCTAAAATTTATATTCATTAATATGAGATACATACGCAACGTGAGTACTCTAAGACTAGTAGATTTATATATGGTGAAAGTGAAGAAGTTGCATGCGTAACTTTATTTGTGCGAGCGGCATAACATAGAATATGGGAGGAGGGTAAAGGGTTAGGGTGATGAGGTGGCATGTCACGTGACGTTCATAATATTTAATATTAGGTGCTAGTCACAGTAGACCGTAAAAAATGGGGGCATAAATCTTTCCATTTTCCAAAATAATACTCTCTCCGTTATAATTTATGTGATAGTATTTTTAATTCGATAGGGCAAAGAAAAAAATGCTTTTAAAACCTGTGCTCTAAAATAAGTCATAAATAGTTATTTGGGGAAAGAGCTTGGGGTCTTATCATATAGCCAAGAGATGGGAGGAGCATATTGACACTTTAAGTCCTACTTGGACAAGGTAGCTAAGTAGATAAAGAATTTTCTAGACCGCAAGTGGCATTGCGGATGAAGAATTTTGCGGACTTCAAACGACATGCAACAGACTATAGAGTTTTCTGTTTTACCTGAACATCTAGATCCGGTATCATCCAGAATTCCCCTAGTGTCACGACCCAAAATCCGAACATTGGGGGTCACGACACAACCTTATAACGCAACACCATAATGAAAAACAACAACCAAGAATAACTACAAGACTTCTTATCCATTGCGATGTGTAATCCGATTCCAATATCAATATCAACGATAATCATTACCATCGTGACACGCAACCCGATCCCAATATCAATTTTAAGTACCGTTGCGACATGCAGCCTGATCCCAATATCAATTACAAGTACCGTTGCGACATGCAACCCAATCCTAATATCAATAATAAGTACCATTGCGGCATGCAACCCGATCCCGATATATTAATTCGTATAAATCCACCCAATAAACAACCAAGTATGGTGAAACTCACAATATAACATAAAAGAGAACTAAAACTCATAATTCACGAAATACGAACACAATCAAAGAGTAATAGACAATTCGACATTCAAGAACTAGTCTCACCATATATATGTCAACAAAGATTCAACAAGTCGTAAATGCGAGGACAATCTAAAAGTCACACAATTCGACATAGAATAGTAGAGTAAGACAAGAAACAAGAGAAGGCAACAAGGCAAGTAAATGCATGAAGCATATAAAAACATGAAGCAAATAAAGGTATCCAATGACATGTAATAGCATGTAACAAGTAAAGACATACGATAAATAAAAGCATAAACAAGTAGAAGTATATGACAAATAAAGACATGCAGCAGTGAAAGCATACATATCAAGTAAAAGCATACACCAAATAGAGTACGTAATAAGTAAAAGTATGAAATAAGTAAAGATATGATATAATCAATTGCATGAAATAAACTAGTACACCACCCCATATGCTTAAACCCATGATAATCATATACACTTGTCACCTTGCATATACATTGTTCCCACACATAAATCACGTAGCAAATAGACCAATCATGTCCTACTTCCCTCATATTAAGGTTAACCACAATACTCACCTCTTTTCGGAACAAAATCAACAATCCAACATAGCTTTTCCCTTTAGAACAAGCCTCCAAATCACCCAAATCTAGGAAATATTACTCAAATAAGTCAAAACAAACTTTAGAAACTGCCCTAATATAAAAAAGATTCGATTTTTGAACATATTTGGAAAAGTCAACAAAAAGTTAACCCTAGTTCACATGGTCGAAATCTAAAATTATGATCAAATCTAGATTACTCATTCATCTCTGATTGAAGTCCAAATATGTAATTTGTTTCGAGATCCGACCGCAATTCGAGGTCTAAATCTCTAGAAGATTAATTTAACAAACATATTGACTTTCGATGTGTTTAGCAAGAAAAACCAAATAGTGTCATCTAAATTTTACTATACGACACTAAAGTAAGAACACAATTCCTTCCGCTATTTCCGAGGGTGTAGAATTCTAAATCAGTGTAGTTTCTTGTATGTTTCACAAGACATTGTTAGCTGGTGATTTCATATCCCCGCAATGACTCTTTTCCTTCTCTCGATTTCACTATAAAATGTGAAAGTTAAAACCTCACTTAGTCACAAATTAAGAATCAAGAAACATATGTCAAGAAACATATTTCACTAATATGGCTAAGTCTCAAGTTCACTACGCTGCCTTTCTTGCGGTCTTCTGTTGATTCCTCATCGTATCAACTGGTGAGTGGCCAACAATCTATAAATCCCACGTAACGCTATCTGTTTGGTGTTGTTTAGCTTTAGACTGTGTTTGGTATGAATAAAAATATTTTTTTATTTTTTCATCTTTAGTTGGCTTAAATATCTTGAAAAATTATTTCCTCACAATTTTATTTTCGTTCGGTTGGAGAAAAATGACTTCCCCAACAGGAGAAAACATATTTTTCAGAACTCTTTTTCAACCTTTCCCGTCATATTTTCCACCTCTACCCTTCACCCTCCACCACCCCAACCCTCAACCCCCAACCCCAAAACCCCACCACCCTCAAAACCCTGCCATCCCATATCCCCCACCCTCACCTCTACCCTTGCTATCGCTACTTCGGCCTCTAGACATTGACCTACCACCCTCCACTCCCTTACCGATTGTATGTCCCTTAGTGTTTGCCTAAATTATATATTTTTCAAAAAATATTTCCTGCTACGTAACCAAAGACCAGAAAATAAGTAAGAAAACTACTTACCTTTAAAGTCAAATTAACATTTTTTTTCTCATTTCTCTATCAATATTGAAATTTCAAACATCAGTATGTTATCATAATTGGTTTGGATAATAAAAATATATAAATGGAATTACCAGTAAATATATATTTGACTCCAAAAAAAACGAATAGTCAATTTAGTTTGAGCTTTTACCTTCAATTCTATGCAGAGATGCAAATGGCAGAAGCATTTGGTTGTGAAAAGCGCAGCACAACATGGACGGGAGAATGCATTATTTCGATTAATTGTAACGACCGATGCATAAATTGGGAGCATGCTGTTCATGGAGATTGTCAACCGGATGGCGCCTTTATACCTTTTGCTTTTGCCTGCTTTTGCTACTTCTGCTGATCAATGATCATTGTATTTCTTCATCTTAATTGATGCTACGTACCTATGTTCGCAAATAATAATTAAATCTACTCTTGCAGTTTGTAATAATGTTAAAGAATTGTGAAATCACATGAGATAATATGCTCCTGCCGATACGAGTATCTATCTATCTCTCTATATATCTTTTTGTAATGTTTCCTTGCCTATTTGTGACTCGATATATACGACAAAACCACATGAGCTTCAATGGTATCTTAATTTACCATCAGTAGTACCCCAAATAGCTTCAATCCAAAACTAGAGACTTTGGTAGATGAAGAGGAGCTTCAATCTTCTTGAAAATGATTTTAGGTGGTCTAAGAGCTTTGTTTACCGTGAAAATGGTAACAACAATTAAATTTGTAAATAGGACTCTAAAAATACGTGACCTATTTTTATGCTAGTTGTTAGAGCAGTTGATGCTAGGTGTATGAACTTTAATGATGAAATAAGAGTTAAAACTGGGCAGTGATCAAACCGAGGGGCTTGCTACCCGGGCTTCGGAATGGTCGATGAAAGGCCTCGAGGTCGATATCCGGCTCGAGCTCGAGCTATCGGGGATAACCAGGAAGGGGATAACAGTTAAGATATAATTAAAGAAGGCTCTTTATGACCAATACCAAGCAATAAATGAAGAACAAGTATGAAAGCAATAAATGCAAAGAGTAGCCTCGAGCGAGTAAGTTAGAGAGAAGAAAGAGAGATATTACTGCTCTTGTGTAGAATAGTTGGAGTTCTGCCTTACAGAGTGTTAACGACTCCCATTTTATCAGAGGGGAGAGTCCAAACTTAGTACAAGATACGTTGAGTGATAAAGGAAAAAGGATGGGACAACTAACTAACTTCATAACGTATACGTAGGCCAATGTTAGGCTGCCCAGGTAGACTTAATCGACTCCGGATGTACTCTTCGGAGGCCTCCTATGCTCGTCGGGGTTTCGGCCAATTTTATCCTCGACTGGGTATCGACAGATCTTGAGGGAAGTAACCGGCTCGAGGTCCCAAGCTTCCGAGGCGACCTCCTGAAGCACTTTGTCAATGAGAAATTGGTCCTCCGATTTCACCGTACACAGATAGTCTCCTCGTTTCTTAGAGGGAAGCGATAAGAAATGATTTTGACATCCCACTTTATGGGCTCCCATAATGACGTCGTGCTGATGCGCAACCCCTTTTCCAAGTGTTGAGACGTTTCACCTTTTTGATTTTTCAGGGCCGTTCGACGTGTCGTGACTCCTTGTTCTTCGGGGTCATAATGTTGTCTTCGATTCAGCTTCCATGAACGCATTTAATGCGCATGTTTCTACGTTTTTCGAGGGCGATAATGGTGCCTCAGTTATTTTGCCCTCCTCCTCTATAAATAGGGCTTCTTGTGATAAGTTTTTCACCCAAACATCCTTCGATATCTATCCTTTCCTCCTTTCTTGCTATTTTTGTTCTTTGCTGTCTCACTATGTTTGAGGCTGATCGCCTCAAGATCTTATGTCGATATCATGCGTGGTACGGCCCGACTCCCGGACTTTCTCCGGTCGGACGAAGTTGTGCTGCCATGATGCTATTATTGCTGTTGTTGCTGTCTTTATCAGCTCAAGGTGATGAAGTAGAGGACCAATTTTCTCCGACCTGAGGAGGCATTTGGATTATGCATCGCTGCTCAAAAGGGGGCTCGGATTATACACCGCTGCTCACCCTTCTTCCTTGGCTTGATGTATTACACCCCCTTTGGATTCTTGGGGCTATGACGACACTCTCTTCTGGCTGTCGCCTCCCGGGCTGAGGCAACGTCTCAAGAAGTGGCTTTATAATAGTACTATTGGCGGAGTTGACACTAGCCATATTTTTCACCCAGCCACTTCTTGTCTACTTTCGGCTTCTCCTTCGTCACTTTGCTTTTCTCTATCACTTTCGTCTTCTATATCTTCCTTTTGAAGATGCCATTCTGGAAGGGTCGAGATGAGGTTCCCGAGGGGATTGGACTTGGAAGATATTGTCTTTGAGGTCGCACGCTTGAGGAGATGATGCCGAAGATGCCGCTATTGGGGACATATTTTGGGAATAGGCTGGATTCTTAGACTTTTGTTGTATGCATACCCTTTAACCTTTCTGTTTCTGTGTGAGGATCCCCTTGCGGGCTTTGTAATCATATGTAAGGACCCCTCGAGGGTCGTTGTAAATGAATATCTACGAATACAAATATATTTTCTTATCTCCTGCCTTTGATACTTGTTGTATTTCTTTATGTTTATGGCGGCTCCGAATGCGCCATCCTGTTTGTTGATGCTACTGCTGGACCCGGATGCGAGTATTTCTTTTGGGCTTTGGTCGACAGAAATGGCTCCTTTCCGAGCTCATCGTTGTTCCTAGAATCAAGCCTGAAGTAGTTCGGTAAACTTGGATCATCGGGGCCTTCGAGCCTCGTAGAGGGAGAACATCGAAGTGAAAGTCGACTTCGGGTGCTTGGAGTTCTTACTTTGAGCTTGACGTAGATAACCTTTTAAGGTGTTGTAGGCAGGCTTCTGAGGAAGGGGCTATTCGTACTTAGGCATTTTTCCATGGTCGAGCCCTCACAATCGGGGCTTGAAGTGCTCATTTTTTCTTCTCGAGGGAGGACTTCGAGGTTGGATACCACCTCGGAATTGGAGATAATGTCGCTGACCCTATGTGGCCTAACTTCTTCTTGGCGGAGATTCCCGGGGTCGGGCACCACCTCGGGATCCATTTCGGGGTCATTGGCCCCCCAGGGCTTTATCCTGGGTA